TTGATCGAAAGATGTCGCCCTCTCTTCAGCTCTAGCCCTACGAAAGTGGCGTCCCGCGCGGCAGGCTCCTCATCGTGAGTGAGAAGCCCCTTCTCCGTCAGCACGCGCGCGATGGCAAGGGCGGCCTGGTCGACGAGGGCCGGGGAGCGTCCCAGGGCGGCGTAGTTGTCGACATAGCCGGCGACCGCCACGGCGCCTTCCCGGTCGACCACGACCCCCGCCTTCCCGTCCTCGACGCACTGGTCCACGGTGAACCCCGCGGTGGCCATGGCGCGTCGGAGCACGCCCTGACAGAGGGCCAGCGCATGGCTCCAGCCCATCGGCAAGACGCACACGCAGGGCTGCACCCGCGCCCCTCGCGCGAGCAGGACCCCGTCCAGGTGCGTGATGCCGAGCAGGCTGGCATCCAGGGCGGGCAGTCTGAAGTATGAGGACAGCCCGTCTGGCAATCGTAATCTGTAGAATGCGCTGTCGATATCACCCGAGGCCAGGTAAGTGTCGCGCCCGGGGTTCTCGAAAGCAGCGAGGGCCGTCGCAGTCGGCAACGAAGTCCGAGCCGGTCGACCAAAAAATAGGTTGGCATACCTCGTGTCAAATAGCACTCTCAGCTTCTTGTTCTTCTTCGCGGCGAAGAAGCAGCCGACGGTGGCTGCGTCACAGTCCCTCTTCAGCTCCACCATGCCGCGAGCCAGCAACTTGGCGACAAAATCGGCGTGGAGCAGAGGCTTACTGAAGAGACTGGGGTCGAAAAAAGGTCCGTGAGGGCAGAACTCAGTACGTTCAGCAGCTGTAGGTTTATCTGGCCTGAGCAAGGTGCTCTGCCAGCGGCCCAGCCACTCAGATTCGGCCTCACCAAGGCAGGCGGTCAGTGGAACTGGCTGCAGGTCGGGCGAGGGCCAGGATATGGATTCCTTGACATACGGCCGTCGGGAAGAGAGATCACCCGTCTGGTAGATCCCCGCCCCCGCGAGGAGCTCACGCAGGGCCCCCTCGCGACAACCTGCCTCAGGTGGGGGCTTGCCAAGCGCGCGCACTTGAGACTCGACGTGGTCCACTGCATGCCGCTGGGCGGCATTGGCGGGGACCGCTGGCCGGTCCTGGTGGCCATACAAGTCATTCAGGACGTTGATGCACTCGTCGCCCCAGTCAAGGATGTGCTTGGCGGCCGCGCCACGCCGCCGAGTGACCCTCGACAGGTCCTGGCGGCCCGCTGCGCCGGCATGGTCTCGGCGCAGAGGGGGCAGCGGAAAAACGTCACGTTGGCGAACACTATGTCCCAGCGCATCAAAAACCTCTCTCTTGATCGGACCGGTAGAGGCACCCCGGTCCACAGGCGTCTCAGTCAGGGAGTCGCGCTGGCCGCCTGAACCAGGCGCGACCGAGGGGAACATCACCCCTCCTCCTCCCTGTTGTTATTATTCTTGTTGCCCTTCTTTGCAAGCTCCCTCTCCTCGCGCGCCTTGCGGCGCTCCTTCAGCAGCGCCTGCTCCTTGGCCAGCTGAAGGCTGGCCCACTCCTGGAGGAGAGGGCACGCGCACACGCCTCCCCTGGTGAGCTCGCTGCCCATGAAGAGGTGGGCGTCCACGTTGTCGTGGCCGCCGATGGCCGTGCCACCAGCGCCCCTGTCCCGGTAGCGCTCCTGCTGCACCTGGATGGTGCGCGCAAGCAGCTCAGCGGCCGCCAAGTTGGCCCCTTTGCACTGGTCGAAACAGAGCAGCTCCTCCAGCGCCCGGCAGGCCCGTTCATGCTCCTGCACTCCTGGCTCGTGCTCTTGGAGACGAGCTTCGCTCCGCCACCGGGAGTGCATCCCAGTCGGAGTTCCGCCGTGGTCAACGATGTACCGGAGGACCCAGTGGGTGGTGCGTGGGCCGCGCACCGGCCACCCTTCCCACTGGTCCTCCCGGCATGCCAGCACCGCGTCGCGAAACTCTCGCCGACGGTTGCCCACCATGTCGTAGACCACTGCGAGCGTCCGTGCATCCTGGACGTGGCCACCAGCGGGCGCCACAGCGGCGGGAACGCCCCCAAAGGCCACGGGAGGAGGTGCAGCGACTGCAGCCACGTCTGCCGCGCCAGGCAAGGGCGCGCCGACGGCAGCACCGACAGGCGCCGCCCCGACCCCTGGGGCCACGGCGGCCGCGGCGCAGGCTGCGGCAGGGGCAGCCGGCGGAAGAGGGGCGGGGACGAGAACTCCTGCGGGCGCTCCTGCTGCGGGTCCGCCGAGCGCCGCCACCAGGCCACCAAGCCCAGCCGCTGGGGCCACGCCTCCGAGGGCGGCGGCGGCGCCCGCCGCCGGCGGGCCTGGCACAGCACCGGGCGGTGCGCCAACGCCTCCGGCTGCGGGCGCACCTGGCAAGGCACCTCCCGCTGGCGGCTCGGCGAGACGCCCGCCGAGAGCTGGCGCCACGGGCCCCACAGGCGCGGGCAGGCCGAGGCGGGCGGCCGCGGCCGTGGTCGCCGCCGTGAGGCTCGCAACGGTCGGCATCGCGCCAACCCTGAAGCGGTAGTATCGAGCTCCGGGCCGACCCAGTAGAACGCCTCCTTGCTGTCGATTCGGCACTGGTTCCCACTCGACGATATCTGGCATGCTCCATACCTCCTCATATTCGTCACCGTCGGGGGTGGTGACCGAGACGGTCAACCCAGCTCCGAGCGGCAGGTAGGTGACCAGCCGCTCGTGGTACAGAAAGGAGCCCCCGACATTATACCTCACCACGCAGAAGTCGCCCACCCGCAGGTCGTGAGAGACAGTGAGCGGGTGGCCACCTGCGGCTGCAGGCGGCATCATTGTGCCAAAGCCTTCGATCGATACTGCGCCACCTGAGCTCGGGCCGTCGCGTCCAGGTCTTCGGGGTTCAGCTCTGTCCTAGCCCTCACCCCCGTCAAGCGACCAGCCGAGAAGGCCACCACCGCCACACAGGCACACGTGAAGGTCAGCACGAGCGGGGTCAGCGGCGAGGTGTAGGCCACGTCACCAGTCGAGCAGGTCAGAGGAGGACAGTGCAGCACTGGCGAGCACTCGCAGTGCGGGCAGGTAGGCCGCCCAGCCCACACGACAAGGCCCGTCGAGACCCCCTCAGCGAATCGCCCGGCAATATGGCGGAGGGCGGCTTGCATGAAAAGGAATGGGGGGGGGGCCTGCCTCAGAGCTTGAGCACAAGTGGCAGAGGCCATGCGGCGAAGCTCCCTTCAGTGCCTGCTTCCCGTACTGAATACACCCATCATCAGCATCAGCATCAGCATCGTCATCATCGTCATCATGCTGAGATTCCTCCGCTATATCCTGCTTCCCATCCGACCGCATCGGGTCTACTCCCCCCTGTTCGCTCAATCCTCCTATCCTTTTTCATCCTCCTCCTCCGCTATGAAGCTCACTTGGAGATGTCCTGCCTGGGTACCAGAAAGAACAAAAAAAACTACCAGAGTTCTCCTCCTCCTCCTCCTTCATGGTACGCCCGATGGACGTCAGAAATGCGGACGATGCCCAGCAGCGAGGATTGTCCAAATCCGACAGCGGTCGCTGTTGGGCAGGCTACGCTTGTCCCAGATGGGCAGCGGCCGCATCGACGCTGTGCAACATGAACAGGACCAGCTGTTGGCCGTCGCCGTCTTTTTCTCCGTCGGTCCCCAGTTCCCATGTCGACTACTGTTAAGTCGGGCGTGTCCTCCTACAGAGGGATTTTGGACGAAAAATAAAAGATAGTCAAAACATACCCCAACATGGCAAAAAAATGCTCAAAAAATAGTCCCCTGACTATTTTTGACAATTTTGGAATATTCCTCCTGTAGAAGGACAGGCCCGACTTAAGACTACTGGGGGGGATCCTACGTCAGGGAAGCGGCCTGGGACCTTCCCTGGGACCAGTGCCTCGCCCCGACTGGCTGCTGGCACCTCCGGGGCCCAGGGAGGGTCCCTGGAGCCCGAAACTGGCCTCCGACCTCTAGAGGAGGAGGAGAAGGAGAAGGAGGAGGGGGAGTGTTAGGGGGAGGTTTTGGGGATGGGGGCAGGGTGGTGAGGAGGAGGAAGAGGAGGAGGAGGAGGCGAAGGAGGCGTGAGGAGGCGGAGGAAGAGGAGAAGGAGGACCCGTGTCACTCAGGGTCCTTTTCCTTCGTGGCGCCGCCGCCTCCCTGGACGCGGCACTGCAGGCAGAACACACTGAGACGAAAATTGAGCACACGCCGAGGCAGAGGAGGTGCGGAAAAAAACAGGGGCGGAGGAACGCACGTGCGGGACGCGGATCACAAACCTTTTGTCAGCGGCGGACGTGGGTCCAAGACGCGGTCGGGGCAGCGGAGGAAACACCAGAGCCTGATTGGGCACAACTGGAGAAGGGCAAGGCGCGGAGGGGGGAGGAGGACGCGGATGGCAGAACACGCTCAGGACATGAAGATCTCGCACATGTCTGTTGGAGCACAAGCTTACACGGGCAGCGAGCCGGGAGTGGCAAGGCGAACCTGCGTACCAGGGTGCGGCGAGTTCATGACGTGCCAGATGTCGCGGCTCCGAGGCGACTGCGCACAGAGGAGGACGTGTGCTCTGTCCCGCCTCGGGGTAAGCTGGGATGCAGAACAATCACGCGTGCCGGATGTCTTGTCTCCCAAGGGAAAACAAAAGGGGGGGCCAGCTATGGGGGCGCAACGTCGACCTGGAATCGGCGATGGATCGGCGATGGGCCCCACGTTCCTGGGCGGGGTGCGCCAGCGGGCCGCGGGCCCCTACCGGCGATGAATGAACGATTGTGGGTCGATGCGTCCAGCACTGAGCCTGTCCCCCTCTGACACTGCCCCTTGGTTTTCGGCTCCTAGCTCGGCTCTCCCGCGGCCGTTCAGGACGATCTGGGCAACCCGTGAACGCTCTCGGCGAGACGCAGCTGCTGGAACCAACCAGAACCAACGAAAACGCCCGATAACCTCGAACCTCCCCCCCTTACGTTGCCCCTGATGTCTTGGCCTCGGCAGAAAAGCGAAGGGTGCCCGCGCGCGCGCGTGAGCGGCGCCACCCGAGCCGCCCGCGGCGTAGACGTTCATGCTGGGGCCACGGGAGAAGCTGGCGCCGCAGTAGGCCTCAAGGCCGCCGCGGACGTGCCGCCGCCGAATCGAGGGACTCGAGATTCCCTGCGCAAGACCAAGAAGCAACTCCTGGGAGGTCTGCGTAAGAACGGTTCAGGGCTTCTAAGCCAGATCAAGCGGGGCTTCATCGGACTAAGCCACAAACATGCCGGATTATAACGGGTTCGGCTGATTGTCGACCGCATATATACCACCGCCGATTCCGAATCTAACCTCCCAGGAGTTGCAATCGAACGTAAGACGAAGAAGACAGGCCGCGACAACATCGGACTGGGACACATCGGGGATCTCGGAGACCCGGCGGTTCCGGAGGACGCCTCGTGCGCAGCGGCCGTTCCAGAACGCTCCGAGCGGTCTGGAACGCTCTGGGACGATGTATCCTGGTCCGGGCCCCGCCGGCTACGACAGGTTCGGGTTGTGACAACACGGGCGCTGGCTTCTGACACCGCGCGGCCCTCTCCTGAGATCCTGGAGTCGTGCAAGAACACCACGGCGAGGTTAACGTCAGGGGGGCGACCGCTCAGAGGGGAAGACGTCGACCTGGAATCGGCAAAGCATCGCCCATAGATCGGCGATAAGCCCCCGATAGCGAAGTGCATGCTCCTGGGCGGGATGCGCTATCGGTCCCCCGTCGGTGATGAATGGACGATCGGGGCAAGATGCTTCCCCGCCGAAGCACATCACCCTAATGTGACCCAAGATCCTTACGGCAGGTTCGGGTCGTGACAGTACTGGCGCTGGCTTCTGACACCGCGCGGCCCCCCTGACATCCCGGAGTCGTGAACAAACGACAGGGTGTGCTGCGCCGCCTCGGTCTCCTAAGACCATTGCCAGGCCCTGGGACCGGCCAACAAAAACGCCTCGGGACGAAAGGCGGGTCCCCGGGAAAGGGCAAGGCCTCTGGGGAGCCACACTGCGGAGAAAAACACGACCTCGGATGGCTGGGCGGTTCAACCCTGAACGGTCGGCGGCTCCTCGACCGCCTCATCGTTGCATACTCGCCGACGCTGGGCCACTGGCGGCGCTCCACACCGAACGCCCGCGGCGGGGTCGCCGCCGCGTCGACACGACGCGAGCCCAACGGCCGCAGGTCACCTGGCTTCGATCGCCGCGCCCAGCAGTGCGCGGCGCCCGCTTCCCTCCGCGCCCGCTGCCCTCCGCGCCCTCGCGCCGCCCCCCCCCCCCTGGGGGAGAGGGCGCGCTCCTCTGGCCCGGACCGCAGCACGGAAGCGTGGCCACTTTCGCGCCCCTGCGGGTGACCTAGGACCTCCCCAGCCCACGCCGACGCCGACGCCGACGACGACGACGACGACGACGACGACGCCGACGCCGACGCCGACGCCGACGCCGACGACGACGACGACGACGACGACGACGACGACGACGACGACGGGAAGCTCTTTCCTCCGTGGGGCCATAATCCGCCATCAGCCCTGAGGCACGAGTTGGAGTATCCACAGGTGGCGGCTGCAGCGGAGGCGGGCATGCTGGGCGCAGGCGCCCGTGGGCGCGCGCGCCCGTGGTCGCGCCAGTGGCACTCAATTCATGATTAGCAGCGAAAGAGCCCTACGTCCTCGATCCGGTGGGTTGGGCCCGCAGCCCAGAAAACCGGGCGTTTCTGGGCGCTCCAGGGTCTTCCCGCATGGTCTTCGTGGAACCGAGAGGACCCCACGACAGGCCCCCGAGCCCCCGAGACGGTCCAGGAGAGCGTCGCCTCGCCCCAAGATCTGCTCCAAAACGCCGAAGATGGCATCCAGACGAGCCAGGAGGCCCCCAAGACGCCGCAAGGGGGCTCCAAGAGGCCTCCTCAGAAGGCCCCGAGGCGCCAAAACCATTGACTTCTATGAAGGTAAATGTTTGAAGCACGTGTTGCTTCTCGCCTGTTGGAGCTTACGACGCTGCAAGATGGCCCAAGTGGCCCCCAACATCGTCTCGAGACGGCCAAAACAAGGGCCCCAAGAGAGCCCCCAGAGGGCCCAAGAGGGCACCACAACGGAGACAGGCCCCAGGAGGGGGAACACGAACGGACATTCCGAGCCCTCCGCCTCCGAGACCGCCAGCATGCCCACAAGAAGCCCTCCAAAAGCTCAAGAAGCCCCCAAAGAAACGCAAATCTGGCCCCCAAAAGCCCCAGGAGGCCCCCAAGAGGCCCCCAAGAGGTCCCGAAGACACATCGAAACCGCCTCCAATAGACGTCCGAGAGACCTTCCAAGATCCCCAAAGGCATCCAAGAGGCCTCTGACCCACAACCAAGGCACGGTGGCGGGATGGGCCGAAGCCCACTAGGTCCGCCGCCCCCTGCTTGCAGGGGTGCACGGCGTGCTGGACGTTTCAGGTTTTGGTTTTGGTTCTTTTTCCAAAAGAGCTTCCCAGTGGGCTCCGGCAGAACCCGCCGGCCACCCGGAATTTCCCCAAACGTGCTCAACGACCGCAAAAAATCCTCCAAGAACGGCCGTTTCGCTCGGGACATCCTCAAAAAATCGCGAAGATGGCCCAAGATGGCCTCCAATTCCGCCCGAGATGGTCCAAGACGGCCTCCAAAACGGCCCAAGAGAGTCCAAGACGGCCCAAGACGGCCCAAGAGGCCCCCCAGAGGCCTCCCAGACGGCCCAAGAGGCCTCCAAGAGGTCCTCCAGGAGAGTCCGAAGAGGCCAAAATCATTGATTGTCCCTTGGTTTTTGAAGGATTTTGGCATTTGCGCCTTTTCGGCTCTCCGACGGCTCAAGACGGCCCAAGAAGCCCCCAAGATCGCCCAAGAGGCCCCCAAGAAAGCCCCCTGATGGCCCAAGTGGCCTCCAAGATGGCCCCTAAAGGGCCCCAAGACGGCCCAAGAGGCCTCCAACACTCCCAAGATGGCCTCCAAGACCGCCCAAGATGGCCTCCAAACGGCCCTGGAGCATTCAAAGAGGTCCCCAAGCATTGGCCCAGAAAGGCCCCGAGCAGAATGTCCAGGCGACGTCAGGACGTCCAGAACCAACAAGATGCCGAAAGTTGGCTCCGAAGCTGGCCCAAAAAGGGCCCAGAGGCCCCCAAGCGGCCTCCAAAGGCCAAAAGATGCTAAACCACTGATTTCCTAAGTTTTTTATAGGGATTTGGGCAATTTACCTTTTTTTTTTCGGCCTTCCGACGGCCCGAGACGGCCCCAGAGCCCCCAAAGATCGCCGAAAGATCGCCCAAGAGGCCTCCAAGACGGCGACGATGACCATCAAGACGCCCACGTGTTCCCCGAAGGCTTTCCAAACCGATTCGGGGAACACATGGTCCGATGGCTTGGCAGGTCTGGCCTCAACGTTCGGCCACATAGGCTCTTCCACAAAGGCAGGGGGCGGCGGTGATTCGCCGTAGGCGTCTTCGATCCGCCGCCCCCTGCTTGCAGGGGTGCACGGCGTGCTGGATGATTCAGGTTTTGTTTTGGTTCTTTTTCTAAAAGAACTCCCCAGTGGGCTTCGGCCCGTCCCGCCGGCCACCCGTAAGTTTCCGAAAATCCATCTGTCAATGCCTTTGTTGCCCCAACTTGGCCCAATATGGCCTCCAAGACGGCCAAGATGGCCCAAGATGGCCTCCAAGATGCCTCCAAGACGGCCAAGATGGCCTCCAAGACGGGTAAGATGGCTCCAAGATGCACCCAAGACGGCCCAAGATGCCCCTCCAGCAAGACGGCCAGAGATGGCCCCAAGATGCTCCAAGAATGGCCCACGAGCCTCCAAGAGACGTTTCTCCAGGAGAGCCCGAAGATGCCAAAATCATTGGTTTTTCCTTAAGTTTTTTTGAATTTTTGGCGTTTAGTTCTTTTTCGGTCGTTTCTCGGGCCTTCCGACGGCCCAAAGGCCCCCAAGATCCGCCCAAGAGGCCTCCAAGAAGGCCCTAACGCCCAAGGGCCCCCCAAGACGGCCCCAAGAGCGCCCCAAGACGGCCCAAGAGGCCTCCAAGACGCCCAACATGGCCTCCAAGACGGCCCTTAAGCGCCCCAAGAGGGCCCCAAGACGGCCCAGAGAGGCCCCCAAGACGGCTCCAGACGGCGTCAGACGGACCAGGAACGCCCTAAGACGGCCAAAGAGACCCCCAGGAAGCCCCCAAAGGCCCCCAAGAGGCCCAAGGAGGCCCCCAAGATGCCTCCAAGAGGCCTCGAAGAGGCCCCCAAGTAGCTCCCAACAGACCCCAAGGGTGCCCCAAGAGACTCCTAACAACCCTCATCCTCCTACTCTATTTCTTCCTCTTCCTCTTCCTGTTCATAATCATTCTCTCCCATGTGTTCCCCGAAAGCTTTCCAAACCGACTCGGGGAACTCATGGTCCGATAGCTTTGCCAAGCTCTAGTCCAACTTTCGGCCACATCGGCGTTTCCAAAAAGGCAGGGGGCGGCGGTGATTCGCCGTAGGCGTCTTCGATCCACCGCCCCCTGTTGGCTTGCCACGGGGTGCCCGGCGTGCTAGATCCTTTCGATCGAAGACGCCTACGGCGAATCACCGCCGCCCCCTGCCTTTTTGGAAACGCCTATGTGGCCGAACGTTGTGGCCAGAGGCCTGCCAAGCTATCGGACCATGTGTTCCCCGAATCGGTTTGGAAAGCGTTCGTGGAACACGGTGGGGGAGGAGGAAGGAAAGGAAAGGAATGAAGAAGGAGAAGGGAGGAGGAGGCCTCTTGGGAGCCTCTTGGGCTACTCTAGGGTTTTATTGGACCATCTTTGCGGTCTTGGGGGCATCTTGGGACTGTCTTGGAAGCCATGTTTGGCTATTTTGGGGCTTCTTGGGGCCATCTTGATCATCTTGGACGCATCTTGGAGGCCATCTTCGGCCACGTTGGCCGTCTTGGAGGCGTCTTGGGACCGTCTTGGAGGCCATCTTGTCCGCCTTGGAGGGATCGTTCGTGGACTTTGAGGTCCTGTATGGTCTCTCCGTCGCTGTCGAGAAGAAGCAGATGCCAAAATCCCTCAAAACCCTAAGGAAAGCAATGATTTTGGTCTCTTCGGGCCCTCCTGGACGACCTCTTGGAGGC